TCTCCCTCAAACTGACCTTGTTTTGTACAGCCTTTTTCCATTTTACATACATTTTGTTAAGCCACACATTTTTCAGAAGACACTTCACATAATGAGTACCAAGATAAAAATTTGGTAAATAAGAAAAGAATTTGTGTGCTTGCAAGCTATTTCATTACGTTACATTTAATTTGCTGACTTTTTTATTATTCTGTTCCTATGTTGGAAAGTTCTACTATCCCTTCTCTTTCCATCTTCCTTTAATAAGTGAAGCTTATACTTTTCAAAGACATGAAGCTCAGAGAAATTTAGATATAGATTAAGTACTTAAGTGGGTATTGTAGTATGTGCCTTTATTGAAGTGTAGTGTAGCAATGACTGCACTGAACCAATATTGAGTTATTGTTGGCTTGAAAGACTTTAAGAAAAGTCATTGAGGATCAGTCCACAATGAGGATTTTTGTTAAAGGGAAAAATACCTTTTTAAAATTGAGTTTCATGATTCCACAATTTGTCAGAGTTATGTTCTAATGTGAGGAGAAGCTTTGCTCTTTATTATCCAAGTCTGCTTCAGAAACTGAATAAAGAATTGTTTATATATGTATATAACAAATGTTTCACTCATGCTCTCTTTGTAACATATACATTTTAGATTGGTTACTAACTAATGAACATGGAGAAGGAATAAATGAATTGCTATCAAAAATGTCTGAAACACTGAGCTCCTATTTTAAAATTTATTTTCAACAAGTAAAATAAATAACTTGGATGAATAGGAGGTGAGATTCTGTGAAAAGAACTATTGATTTTGCTAGTTTTCCTAATGCTCTAAGATGTACAGTATCTAGGCCTGGCTATTTTATATTCATCCCAATTTTCAAACAGACTTACTTCCTAGTATAACAGTCTGATCCACACCGGCAGACCTGGGTGGCGCTCCATTGGCATCTCTCCACTCAGTATTCCTAGGCATGTTCCATTGCATGATTGAAGCTTTGTGTGTACTGATAACTGAAACTGTTAGGTTTTCCCCATCTTCAAAAAAGACTGCTAACTTGTGGCCCCATAAATCTAACTTCCCTGGTATATTTATGTTAATCTGTTCAGTCTCTCTTTCAAAAGAAATATCACAAACCTTCTGGAGGTCAGTGAACCCGTGAACAATAAAAAAAAAAAATTAGGCTTTTTAAAGAATCAGTTTTAATCTTTTATCTGCCTGATCTCAGTACAGCCCTGACGAGACTGCTTCTGGAGTACTGTATTCAGCTCTGGACACCTCATTATGGGAAAAACGTTGGTTTTTCTTAAAACTTCCTACAGTTTGCCTAAGTGATTAGGGAGCTGGTAGAACTCGCTTGTTAAATAACTAGCTTTCTGAGCTCTAATTATTTCTAAGTGACGACCAAAAAGACATTAGATTCTACACATATCTGAAGGAGGTAAACTCCAAGAGGGGAGAGGAACTAGGGTAGCACAGGAACAAATGTGTGGCAACATTGAGAGAACAAATTCGGGCTCGATTCAGAAGAAACTTCTTGACACTATAGACAATGTGGCAGTGAAGTCCTGAATAGGGGGTGGATGGATTTTAGAACAGGGATTGAATGGGTTTGGCTTCCAGTGGGCTCAGTGAGCCAGTAATTTTTGGAGGCTGCCATCATAATACTCCCCTCCTGCAAACTCTCCCCCCCCCCCCCCCCCCGAGCCTCTAGGCTTTCAATTAAAGTTTGTTCCAGTCTTTATTGTAGCAAATACACAGTTCACAATCTGAAGATTCTTTAACATAGTGGTGTCTGCCTGAGTCTGCAGACAGCCATAAAGAAGCTCAGAGATGTAAACTGCTCCCATTTACCTCCAGTGGAGAGTTGATGCTGAACTAGAACACTAACGGGATAACATTCACTTTCCCTCCTGATCAAAGCAGGCAAGAAAGAAGGATGGCAATCCACCATCAGAATACACATGAAAGAAAAGGAATAATGATAACGATTCGTGTGAAGATTTGCAGCACACAAAGTGGTATCTTGTTCTGGTAGCTCTTGGGTGAAGCTTTGTTTGTGGGTTGAGCTTATGCAAACCACTACTTTTTTTCCCCTGTATTTGACCCATGGATTAGGTAACTTTAATTTCATGTTACCTAATCTGTGGATCCAGTGCAGAAAAAAGTAGTGGTACTCACGAGCTCCACCCACAAACAGAGCTCCACCCAAGAGTGTTCCATCTTTTTCTGTGTTCCTTTCTTAAGGAGTTCTGACTATCTCAGAAAGGAAGAGTTGCTGGGAAGACAACCTCATGCTCTCATCACTAGCAAATCTATAAACCTTTACATCATATAGCTCTTGTTGTAAGTTTTAACTGACCCCCTCAAAAAACCTGATTTTGGTGATCATTAGGGGTTAAATACCTGGTTTTGCTAAAATTCGCTTTCTGATCGTCTAGGAGAATTTATATCAAGTGAGAATAAAAATTGGCCTCCAGCCATCATGCTTGCTTCATCACTGACACAGAAAAAAGTTTGTTTGAAATAAGTGAGCATTGGTTATTCCACTGATTAACCATTTTCTATCTGCTTTTATTCTGCTACAGTAGCCAAATCTTGGCCATTCTTTCTCCCAGCTGTTGTGAAGTTCCAACCCTTCCTATCTATACTTGCAGCTAGATGTGACATCTGTGCCCTGATCATCTCCTGTCTTCCTCCCACCTGAAATCATCTTCCTTACCCGTCAATCTGACTGTTATCCACCTCTTTGAACCCTCCACTGCATGGAGGTAACATCTTCTCCTTTCCCTCTATAACTCCACCTCCATCTTTGTATTCAACCTATAATCTGAGTGTTGCTCTCGACCCCCCCACTCCTCCAGCAATTATGCCATCTTTGATGTCCTCTTCTGCAACTATCTCCAAGTGGTTTTCCCCCATTGGCAGCCATGCATGGCCCACACAGCCTCCACCCTTTTGTCTTCCAATCCCTCCTTAATTCACTTCCTCCGTGATACCCCAAGGACGTGTCAGTGGTCACAGGAAGTAACGAAGTGTGTTAAATGCATTTGTAAAAAAAAAAAAAAAAACTAAACGTGGCTAGTCTAAGCCAGCAAGTTACCATATGATTGTGCTGATGAAATGTTGACCTTCCTTATAGAAGTTTACACTCGCTCATCACATCGCATCTAAATATAGATTGTCAACTCTTCAGCACAGGGGCACCATCTCTGTTTGTGTGGCTACTGTAAAAAATACTTGAATTAAACCTAGATCTTTATTCTCATCCCACAGCTCCCTAGAAATGCTAATGTAATTTAGAGAAGGCTCTTAATGCCAAAAAGGGAAAACAAAGTTTAATTTCTAAAGAGATTTCGTAGGCCTTGTGTTTTCCTCTCAGATGCTTATTGCAGGATCAAGTTCTTGAGCATAAGTGTGGCTTTGGTCTGAAAAGTGATCATGTAAACATGATCGCGATGGTTTGAGACATTTGGAGTCTATTCTGCCTCTGGGATGATGAATAAAGTCATTAAAGATTCAGCAATCAGAACTTGGTCATGTGTGACCCAAAAATAATCTCTGATTTTCAGATCCTAAACTCAGGTTGCAGGACTGGCAGTTAAATTAAATCATTATGAATGGAGCAATTTTAATGGGAATCACAAGCATGGCACTACACACGTATTCCAAGTCACTTTTCTGAGTGTAGCCATGCTTATATCAAACAAATAACCATGTAAAGGGTTAAAAAAAAAACTTGGACTGGAAGAAAATTAATTGAAGATGCTTTTGTGTTCTTTGAATGATAGTAAAGACTTTGTGTTTTTAAAAACAGGTAAAGTTTCTGAGCCCTACATTAGTCATGGTGGCAATTCACAATGTAATGTGATACCTTGCTCTTACCTAGTGCTTTTCATCAGTAGATCTCAAAGCACTTTAGAGAGGAGGTCAGCATCATTATCGCCATTTAATGGAGGGAGTAACTGAGGCACAGGAAGTGATTTTGCCCAAGGTCACCCAGTAGGCTAGTAGGTAAGGGGTAAGTACAAAACTTGGAAAATGTATACAGCTTGCCCTTGTGTGCATTTTAATCTGTTTAGAATTACACATCTTAATTTTTGCTACACGACTATGAGAGAGTATATTTAACCATGGCTGCCTTCTGTGTCGAGGACTTAAACAAGATGACAGGAAAAAGGTAAAGCAGACTTACAGCTTATAAAAGACTCACATGGTGGATGTGTCCAATCAGAGTACTGGGGTGTGATTCATAACCAACTATTAAACTGTTGGATGTTTATTACCAAAGAAAACATTGGATAATCTTCTCTTGGGGCTTTCTAGCAGAAATGGTCACGTGCAAAGAAGTGAAGAATTACTCATTTGCGAGATTTGTTAGCAGCTTCTCATGGGAAGAAAAAACCAATAGCCCATAATTAGAGAGAAATGGTTAAAATATAGGTTTATGTTTTGGAAAAATTTATGGAAGTATATACCCTGCAAAATACAGAGCAGAAATGGATACTTAGATATTTGGTTACCATTTATTCAATAATTAAAGTAAACTGGCCCCCCAAAAACATTGCATTTGACACTTTTTTAAATATTAAGTTTGAAAGACATTGGTTTGTAAACATGAGTAAAAACCGAATCCTGATGCTTGTTTAGTGATTTGTAAACCTGCTAACTTCCTAAATAAACAGTTACTTACAAGAAAGAAGTGTACTGTTCAG